CCCCCGATAATGCACAAGTACCGTGAAAGATTCCCATCATATAGTTTAGGAAAAAGTAATGAAATACCACCAAAACTTATTGTAACATATTTCGTAATTTCGGTGCTTTGGTTGGTGGGAGTGACCAAGAGGTGATCAGATGAGTGGGGGCCAAATGCTAGAAATCCCGCACTCAATGAGGGCGGTGCAAAAGAAGAAGTAAAGATTAGAAATCCAAATATGTTGATCCGATTAAGAGCGAGTCCCCCTGGGAAGACAGTTGCAGTGGGCAGGAACTCAGTGAGTTCATGCGCACTACCATATCTCTTGAGGTAAAGTTTTAAATAGATTTTTTGGATACTTTTGCATTATCCGGGAGGGACCGGATTTTTCTATGAACCTAATTTTTAAATATATAAATGTAGGAGGTGTTTCTACACTGTTTCATTTGACATCAACGTAAAAGCCACTGGAATTTTGGTTAAGAGATACTTCAAAAGATATAGATTTTCTCTTCCTTCTTCAGCTAAAAATTTTTATCTTGTGTTGATTGGTTTCCGCTCAAAAATAGGTTGACTTTACCAGAAACATATTAAAAACTCCGGACATATTATGTTACTCGTATTTCTGGAATGGGGAAAAGTCAGCCCCCCTGACTGCACAAGCACCCCGTTTTCATCAAAAAGTTTAAAACAGGACGATGAGCGAGTGGAGAGGGGAAGTGGATCGTTCGAAATACCAAGACAGAAAAATCCACCTTTGCACCCGCAGACGTCAGTATCCGGATCGTATGGAGAGCGAAGAAGCGGGAGATCCTGTTAAAACCGGTCAGTGAACACTAGCGGAGATCCAGCTAGGTTGGCCGGTTCCGGTTCTGGCGGTATCTCCCGGCTGAAGATGATCCACTGCCAGCACGCCAGGATATCAGCCAGGTCGGAGACGTTTTGGGTTTGCGCTTGCGGTAAGTGAAAATGAAATATCAATTTGAAATTTGAATACTATAAATTTAAGTATATAAATTCAAATAAAAATCGAAATTTTAGGTGGCTCGTCGTAGGTAACAAAAGAAGAAGCGGCATCCGGTCTTGGAAAAAACGCCGGAGCTTGAATTCGGTATTTTCGAATTCGAATTCAAGAAGCGGACAGGGGTGCTGGAGAAGAGAGCTCGTGCTCAAATGGTAAGAGAACCATAAGTAGAAAAGTCCGATTGTAATTTTTAGATGGAATATTCGCATTTTACAAGGAAGGAATATTCACTTAAGCGACAGTCCTGATAGAAGCGGAATTTGCCGAAGAGTGCGCTTTAGGAAATTTTGGCCGATAATGTCACCGGAAAAGCTTATATATACACATCACATAAATTAAAATATGTATATACCACATACATCGAAATTCATCAAACCAAATTCCGAATTTCGCTTCCGTACTCGGCGAACTCAAGGCCATGTTCTATGGTCAAAATCGTCAAAACGATCAGCCGGAACCTAGGTAAGCTGTTTGGAGGTATAAACGTAGATAATATAATAAATATCTACAAATTTTAACCTATTGTTTTTAGTCCCTTGCCAACCTGGAACAAGCAAAACAGACTGGGTGGTGGCTGACGGGATCTTCGTGGCCGTCGGATCGAGAACGGAAAACAGCCGGCAGAGTCGTTTGTGCCATTTTTCGGGACGATCCGGCTGGTAGATCCAGATTTGACGGTATGAGAGAATTGTCATATGTTAAAATCAGTAAATTAGGAACGACCCTGACTTCGTGAGGGGCGGAAGACCGGAAATGGATCAAGGAAAAGGCGTGGGAGGAGGGCGTTTACAACTGAAGTATGCGTTATTAGAGGATTAGATATTTCGATCTATCTCTAAGCGTTTCCACCTCTGTCTCTCTATCCAAATCGATCTCGCTTTTCACTTTTCCACAGTTCTCTGCTCTTCTTCGGCCCCCTGCTCTCTCTCTGCCCTTTCTCCTCTCGCCCCCTCCTCTCTTACTCTCTCCGCTCCCTCTGTCTCTCATCCCTTTCCGTCTCTCTCTAATTCTCTCTCTTATCTCTCTCTCCCTCCGTCTCTTTCTCTCGCTCCCGTCTATCTATCTCTCTCTCTCGAACCCTCTATCTCTCGTCTTTCGACTCTCTCTCTCTCTCTGTCTCTCTATCTTTATCCATTCTCTCTCTCTCTCTGTCTCTTTCTCGCTCCCTTTCTCTCTCTCACTCCCTCTACCTCTCTCCCCCTCCTTCACTTTCTTTCTCTCCCCTTCTCTCTCTCTCTCTCTCTCTCTCTCTCTCGCCTTCCGTCTCTCTCTCTCTCTCTCTCTCTCTCTCTCTCTCTCTTTTAACTCCAAATTTTCTAGATTTCCATGAACTCCACTGAACAACAAGCCCATGCTATGGACACCGAAGAACAAGGGAACGGAACAAATTCAGACGAAGAAAAGGGCTCCAGCTCAGCCCCTCATCCGACGAGAACCCCTAGATTTTGATGATTTTAAATCACACCCGAGATTTTTGATATTAATCTTTAAAATACCAACTTGCAGCGTTTTCATTTCTAGCGACCAAATTTCCCTATGTATCTCAAACTTACCCCGCATGCATCTTTCACGTTAGATTCCTTATCAAAAATTCTCCGGATTTTAGACCTAATTTATAATTGCTGTATTAAATTTCCTGCATAGAATCTAAATTAGTTAGTATTTTTGTAAAAGTGTTTTATTCTAGTCTTGCCTACAAACTATTCCCTTGCCCCGGTGATCAAAAATTTAGAACAAATATTCCATTCGTTTCCCTAACCTGAATTTGCTAAATGTTGCCCTTCCCTGGATTTAGCCAGTTACCATACCCTAAAAGGACATTGTCAACTTGTTCGGGTTCCCATTCCCCCTCAATTTACCCCACTTTTCTCATGGAACAAATAATCATTTGCATTATGCAAATCCAGAACAATTCCTGCACATAATCGACCTAAAGAACAAAAACAGTTTTTAGTATTAATCACTATTTTCTATTTTCCTATCCGTTCCATTCCTTGCCACAAACACCCACGAGATTATTCCCCGGCCCCAATACAGTTATATTTCCTGAATCTCATATGCTAATTCACATTTTTTTTGGATTTAGATTCTCCACTCTTTTCGTAATAATTTTTTATGACCTTAGTAAGCTTTTCCACCCCAAATTTCCGGTATTTTTGGTCTTAACACTTTCCCTGGTATCAAAATCTTTTCGGGATAAATGACTTTGACCTCTTCCCACATCGAAAAGGACATGAAAAAGACACTAGAGGTGCCCGGGCCCCGAAGAAAAAGGCGCTATTTCGGAATAGGGGACCCACTTTGATTACCCTAAAAACCACTTTTTCTGGTGCAATTTTGCGCGCTTGTTCCGAAATACGGTGTCCCAGCCCGTAAAAAAGTACATTTGCACAAAAATATGTTATCTTTATAGGATGTCTTTAGGACACGAGACGGGAGGTGTTGACGTGGCCAGCGAACTTGCTAGGAAACTCACTTGGATTACTATATTTTTTGGCTTGAGCTTGACTTGACTGGAACATACATGCGCTAAGTATAATCTAGTATTGGAACCAAGACGCTTCCGTGTTTTAATAACAGCTTATCGCGACCTTCCTTTACGTTACAGGGGCGAAGAGCCAGCCTAGTTTACAGGTGGGCTCTACTCACGTTAACGTATATCCGGGTCGCCTAGGCTTGGTCTCAATGAATCTAAGATCGGGTTTACTAGCATTTAGCATTATTTATGCATACGTTTAAGCTTCAAAAACGGAGCTAGGAGTGTATTGTAGCCAAAAGTCGGGCCTGCGCCGCTAGGTTCCCTAGCAGCCCATTAAATTAAAATAAATTTTTTTGTGTGAAAATGTTAGGTTTTAAAGTTAGTAAGGTGTTTTTTCGGAACCAGCGCGCAAAACTATCCAGGAAAACATCGCACAAACCCCAGTTTTGGTATAATAAAAGTGGGTCCCCTATTCCGAAATAGCGCCAAGAAAAATACAGGCAATTTCAGGGCGCTCGATTTTCCATCCATAGTACAATTCAGATTTTCCGCCACTCAAAATGTTCCTCGCTAAAAATGGGCATCCCGAAGAGCATATTCCTGAACCGACAGATGAGGAGATTGAGGCGTTTGATGAATTGATTGTGAGTTTTTGTAAGAAGGTTTGTAAAGGTTTGTAAATCGATCGGTTATTACCGATTAGCGAGATATCGATCAAATCAATAAAAATTTATAAAAATCTCGTTATCTACGTTTCGCGCCTTTTTACCTTTCTCTGCGCTAATAAGCTACGAAAATTCCCGAAACGTGCTTTAGCGTGGAACACGTTACTTTCATAGATAAGTAAGCAATTTATCTAAAAGTATAACCCCTGGTCATGTCACTTTATGCTAAAATACACCACCCTACGCTAAGCTACACAACTTTACGCCACTGTATAAGCTCTCTTTATTTCACGTGGCGCTAAGATACGCCGCTGTACGCTACGCTAATACACCTACGCGTAGCTACGCTAGGTTGTGTTGGATTCCTCATAGTTTTTTTAGTGTCTAAACCTATTGAAAGGGAATATATTCTGTAAAATGTCAAAATAAGCGAATATTTAGTCATTTTACGAGTTGCCACGTACCTTGAAATTTCGGTTAAAGCCTAATCCGAAGTCTAAGCATAAACCGAAGCCTAAGCCTAAGCTTTTACATGTCGTTATAAAAAAACGATGTAAACCTAACTAATACTAAAACGAAAAATTTACAAATTCAGCGCAAATACGCCAGAGACAAAGCAAATGTATCGGCGGAACAACGAAAAAGTAAGCCACCACCCACCGCCCCCTTTCTTGGAATTCACTGCCTAGATTATTCACAATCGAACGCGAAAGGCGGGAGTTGGAACAACGCGGAAAAGAGTGGGACGCATATTGGGAGCGCAGAAAAACGGATGATAAAGATTTATGGAGGGATAAGGTTTTTAATTTAATGAATTTTACACAGACAGAATTTAGGACTTTGCGAACGCGGTCGATAAAATGAGCCGCGCCGGGTATAAGGGAAAACATGGTGATTTTAGGAGTTGCTCGAACAGGAGCTGATAAAGCTTGAAGCCTTTTTATGCAGGTCACCAATGGAGATTATGGTGCGTGTTATTTTGAGGTTTATTCTGTAGTTTTGAACTGTAGGATTTTGCAAAATGAAGATATCATTCCTCTTTTCTACAAAACGGATTTTTCAGAGAAATTTAAAGCAAAAAATGCTCAAATCGTTCAAAAAGGCTGCAAAAACCTAATTTTGTCGTTTTCACTCCGTGGCTTCTTTTTTAGCGGTTTCCCGTAGATTCACATCAATTTTCACAGCATTACTTTTAGACGATTTTGCTTTTTGCTGATTTATTTAAAATCCGTTTAAATTTAATTGCCTCGTTCGAATTTTGGTAGTTTCTGTAGTTTACACACCATTTTCAGAGCATTGCTATTTTTAGACTATTTTTCTCACACAAAACGGATTGCAAAATGGTCTAAATTGTTCAAAACTCGCTTAAAATTTGATTTGATCTTTTCAGATGGTAACTCCGCACTTCGCTGCTCCACCCAATGGTCCGAACTAAAATCCAAATCCCGAATCGAAGCCCAACGAGAATTCATCCGCCACTCAAATTGGTGCCTAACCCGATGGGGCTGGAATCCGCCGCCTGGCTGGCGATAAATCGTTTTTATTGTCGCCCCCTCTTGTTGTCTACAAGACATTACATCGCACTTTTCTCATAAAGCCTTCCCCTCACTTCCGCTCCAACTTTTTTGCGCAAAAAGCGAACGCCGGAAAGAAATTGGCGCCAATTAACATTTTTTTTGTATGAAGAGCTGGCCCTTTATTAGGGGTGAAATGCGGTTTTTTTTCGGGAAATTAAATGGTTGCCTCGCAAAGAAATAACCTTTCGCAGTCGCGATTTGGTCAGGGTTTAGCTAAAGAAGACGAAAAAAATAATTGCGGGGGAAGCTGCGAAAAAACGCAGAACGAACGAGGCTGGAATGTACAGGCTTTCCAGCGACATCAGGCGCATTTTTTGGAGGAAATGGCGAAATCTCAAAGGTTTTTTTTGCAAAAGCAAGGAACAACCGATGTCTCGCAACCAAAAGACAAAACCGTAGAAATACACAAAACTCTGATACCAATCAAAACAGGTTTGGAAACTTTGCACGCGTTTTTAAAACTATGCCCGAAGTTTTGCGCTAAATCTTTGTAAAATAGTTATAATCGCGACCAAAATGCTAAAGGTATCAAGTCAAGAATCTTTGAAACTGTAACATTAATCATGGATGCTGCTGATTTACGCCTTTGATTTGAAGCAATTCATTTTGCAGTCTGGCAAAGAGAATCAGGTGGAAAAGGCTGCATGCTATGCCGTGGATCGGCGTTACGGTGAGGCGCGTTTCCCTTTCTGCATTAAGGAGCGAGCAACTTTTCCCCCCTCAATACCCATATCCGCCCCCCTTCTGTTTTCTTATTATTGCTTTCTTTTTGGTTCAGTGTATTTTATATAAATTTTCAGCCCCGAACGATGCTCCCCTACGCTCTAATTGCCTCGGTCGAGGAGTCAGCCGATCTCATCAGTATCGGGTTGCTTAGAGATCTGAACACTAGCAATACTATTGTTTAGCGACTTCGTCGAAGCGATTGTTGAGCTGCTCAATAAAAAATTTCGTCGTCTCGAGGGGATGTTTACGATCAAGGTCGGTTCAAAATTGTTTTTGCAATTGTTTGGTTTTAGGAGACAGCTTTTGCGTCCTATTTTGCTCCGATAGGAGACGAAAGAAGGGTTGCTGAAATTTATGAACATCTCTATCAAGTAACGTATTGCACTTTTCTAGCATTTTTTTAGGATCATTCCAGCGTGAAGATCGTTTTTCATATTCTACCGCACGTCGATTCGCGAGAATATAGGTATGGGCCCTAATTATTGCAATATTATGTCGTTCAGGTCCATGAAGCGCCTATCGCGCGACCGTGGCATCATAGCACAAGGCATTCTCCATGATAGTACAGTCAACTGGTGAGATTAATGTGCTATTTATTGTCTATATTTAACCCTCCAGGTTTGCTCAAGTCGGCGGCCTCGGGTTTGCCGTTAGGAAGATTACGAAGAGTGTATGCGATCAAACGGCAAGAGTTTTTGGACAGCGCAAGTTTGAGTAAGTGGACGTTTTTTGACGTGAATAATCTTTTCAGCGAGCCCTCAGCAGGACCGGCGATTGAGGATCATAGCAGGAAAGACCGTCGCTTCGTGGACGAGATCACGGACGGGTCTCGGCACCAAGAATCTGGTACCCTATTTTATGGCTTGTTATAGTTTTCCTTTGGTTAAATCGATTGTAGCGAGTGGTGTATTAAATAATTTTTTTTAGGCGAAATCACGATGGTCGTTGATGGCATTTCACATCATGTGAAGCCAGCGAAATTATTTGCGGTTTTGCTTTCTCCGATTCGGGTGTTGCAAGTAAAAATTTGGGTTTGAAATTTTTTAACTGTGTTTTAGGTGAAATGGCATTACACCGTCGTCCACGTAACGTTCGCCAACAAACAGGAAGCGCTGCAAGCATGTGAAAAGATCGGCCGCGTGATGTCCGATAAATACCCGCTCACGGTACAAACATCTTTGTAGTTGATAAACCTTTGTTCTTAAGATTCGATCGCTGAAAGGTGATGTTGAACGCGAAGGCATCATGTGAGTCGTCGGCATCTAAAGAGGATCATAAGATCAAAGACCTATTCCGTTTCTTCAGCATTCAGCTTCTTTTTTTTGTATTGCTTTTTGTTGGTGTGAATAAAGATTTTAGGCATTCAATTTGATCAGGGATCAGAAAAGAGAAATGCAGTGAATACCCGTCTCGGCTTTCCCTTTCATGTTCATGACCCAGATGAGCGTTTTTGCTTTCTCATTGTCGGTGGCTCTCGTCGGACTGACCGCGGCTAGCAATGAGGTTCCGTTTTTTTTGTCTAGCCGGTTCGCATATTTGTGTGCGCGCGAAAAGGTTGGCAGCTGACCCAAATCGGGGAGTTTTCAAGTGGAGGTGGATTAGGGAGAAAGAGGGGGAATTGCCGTACTGTATCGTCACGGGACCCGGAGCCGGTTCGTTAAGGTCATCTCGTCCCTCGGCGGCGCCTTGGGGGGAAAGGAGCATGAGTTGGGAAAGAAGGAGCATTAGGGTGGGAGAAGAAGTTCGGTTAGGAGATTGGGTACGGTAAACAGCCTTGCTGGGGATTGGGGTTACAGTACGTTAGGGGTCATCAAGGGGGAGTCATGTGAGTTTTAAATGGAGCGTGAGGTGCTGATCGTTTTTTTTTGAAAATTCAAAAAAAGAAGCGTGAAATAGTGATTGATTTCGCAAATTTGAGACCTGCAGTTTTAGGTACTATCGATTTTCCATGATTTTCCCACAAAAACAACTTTTCCAGGTGGTATATGAAAATCTTTTCCCTAAAAAATTAGATAAATGAAGCGTACCGTACTGTTTATCTCTTAAGGGTATAAAAATGTGCGGTTATGTTTCTACCGCTCTTTGAAAAATCAAAAGAATAACTTTTTCAAGCGCTATTTGCAAATTTTGGCCCTAAAACCGTTATATAGAAAATGCTTAACTTCCGGTTGTTTACGCCAAACGCCCAGTTACAGTAGCATTTGATACGGCATATTTCAACACCCCAAATATTTGCGCAACTCGCGCTACGCGCTGAACCGAATAATTCGATACCATCGCCCGCGGGCGCACCGGTAAACAACACGTCATAGGATTTCGCTGTATGTGATTTGGCTCTTTTCGTACCAATCTAGATTTTGCCAGTTTGGAAAGCCTCAAAATCCTAAAACTACATCCGACTCTTCATCTAAAGATCCATGAAAAACTCTCCCTAATTCCCCCCTAATCCCGTTCGACAGCGGCGACCCAATTCCTCCTAGAAATCCGGTATTTTACCTATTCAACCATGTGACTAGCGATAACACTGACCCCAGCAGCTGATCGTCCCGGCGCTCCAGTTTCCTGATCCGGCTTTTTTTGCAAGTTTTCTTGCTTATTTCGAAAGATGCTACCCCGTAAACGACTCGGGAATAGCCAGTGGCGGGGGAAGAGGAGGAAGACTCTCGCAGAGGGAGATCCAGTTTCTGACCACTATGCAAGGTCACCACTCGCCCTCAACACAACCACAAATATCCCTCCCTTAGGGCTTCGGGGTTGGCTTAATGGGTTCAGGTTCTGGAGGATGTTTTGTGAAGATCAGCATCGAAACATTTGGGGGTACTGTAGGTGGCAGTGATGTTATCTGAGGTTTTTTATATTAAGAAAATGCAGAATCATCGAAGGTTGCCGCGTACGGCTACAAACTACAAAGTACAGTATATGTCACAAGCATCTACAAATCGTCTCAGAAGCTTTTAACCCTTAAAGGATATGGCTATGGATACATTACAACCAACGTGGTGATGCACGCAACGCACACGCGACGCGACAGGCAACGCATTTACAACGCTTGGTGAATCGTAGCACGTACGCGACGCGACGCGCAACGCACGCGGGCTGCCTGACCGCGCGGAAGAGGTTGTAATCCATTCCGATATCAAAAAGTCAAAGGTTGCGTGCGTAACGCGCCGCGCTTGAGCAAATCCTACCTTATATAATTTGGTCGCGTATCTTTGTGTGTGTGTGTGTGTGTGTGTGCGTATGTCACTTTCGAGGCTTGATTTGAGGGCCTTCCCGTGTATAAAAAGCTCTAATTTTTCGTCACTTAGGGGGAATCGACTCTTCTGTTTTCGATGGCGTTCTCAGAATTTCGATAAAATACAAGTCTACAAAGTTAAAGCCGGTTTTATTCATTTTTCGGGGTCCCTGAGGGCTAATTTGCATAATGCGAGAAAATACAAATTTCCCCATTCTTGCGAGTTGCACGCGCCGGTGGTGGCGGGGGGGTCCGAAGGACCCGAACCGCCGGAAAGTCAAATTTATCATGCAAACGCACCATTCCAGCGCCCAAGGCCCGCGAAGCGGGTTTTGGGCGCTGGTTTTCAATAAATCCGTGATGAAAACTTCATCGGCTTGGTTTGCTAGTTCCTTTAAAGCATTTCAACCATAGCTGAATTTGCTTGATACGTTTTTATAGTGGTTATCTTCACCAGTCCTTTAAAATACTATTAACGAGGTTTCAAATTCTTCATGTAAGTTTCAGAGGCAGGACAGCTGTCTCCACACCCTAAATACTCTAGAAACATATTCAAATGACTGCTAAAAATTCTGCAAACCTTTGCAAGTTTTTGCACCCAAAAATCCGTTATTTACCTAAAAACCAGTCCCCAAACTCCCGATTTTTTCACATCCCCCACCCAAATCACAACAGCAACATCAATCTCCATCGCCTACTCTCTCTCTCTCTCTCTCTCTCCCTCTCTCTCTCTCTCTCTCTCTTTCTCTCTCTCTCTCCCCCTCCCGCTCTCTCTCTCTACCTCTGCCCGCCACGTAGTTGTTCGCCTAAGAACTTGCGACGTCGCGTACAGCTAGTTAAGCGACCAATTATCGTCCCTTCTCGACTCGGATCTCCATCCCAATGCCCGTTATACGGTGCACTCTTAGGGCGGCTTCCCGTAGACGGCGGCCGGGGAGGGCCTATCCGTTTTTTCTCTAGCCAATCGTGGCGCTAGCACGCCGCGATGCGCGATTTTGGTTGGGTGTGCCCGGAAGCGGTTGTGCGTGATGATGCTGCTGGGGGGTAGGGTTGTTGTGTGGGTTTTGCGAGATATTGGCGAGACAAAAAATGATGGAGTTGTTAGGTTGGTTTCAGGCTGGGGAGAGGGGCTTTCAAGGTTTTGATAGGGAGAGCGGAAGTGGCTAAAAACGGGAACTGAACTTTTTCGAGTTCAAGCTCTTTTCGAGTACGAGTTCGTGCCTTTAAAGAACGAGAAAGGCAACTAAAGCTTCCAAGTGCCGTTATCAGTTACGCAACACAAAGCCGTGCATGCGCGTTGCGTGTAGTGTTGCGTAACGGGTTGCGATGCGCGGCAAAATTCTCGGGGAATTAAAACATCGCGAAATTACTAAAATTGGCATTCCAGTTCCTTTAAGCTTTGACTTTTTACCGAGACCACAAAAATACTTTTCCGTTAGCTGATAAATACATTTTAAGCCCAAACTACACCGCAACACAAAACCGCACCTTCCTACCGTAACCCACTGCCCCGATTTTTGACCACCGAACGATGCGACTCGTACCACAAGAAGCCCTTAGAAGCTCTCTTCTTCCTTCCTGTTGTCCTCAGCTGTTTGCCCCAACCTCTCTCCCCCTCCCTCTAGTTAGCCCGGCGTTCAGAATATTTGTACACGCTGCCGGCGTGACCGTCTAGACCTCTAGGGTATGCAAATTTGTTCCCCCTATCAACTTATCAAGGCACGAGGGGGCCGTGGGTGCAGCTAGCAGTGGCTGGGACGTTTTTTAGGGCGGTGGGATAGGGTGGGTTGTGTCGTCGACATGCGGCTTTTGGTGGTTGGGAGATGGAGTGTAGTTAGGGTGTTAACGTAGCTAAAGAGAGGTGTAAATTGGAGTGTAGTTTAGTGAATCGCTTGCGGTAGGGAACTCTCGTGCTCGCAATGCGTGATTTTACAGGCTCTAAGGGTGTATTTTTTGGAATGGAAGACATTTAGTATACATCGGCTGAGGCTTAGGCTTAGGCGTAGGCTTAGGTTTCGACTTGATCTTAAGATTAAGCTTAGGCTTAGGCTTAGACTTGGCTAAGGAGGCTTAGGCATAGGCCTAAGCTTAGGCTTGGACCGAAGCATAGGCCCATGCTTAAGCTTAACTTAAGCTTCAGCTTAAGCGTTGGCTTAACTTAGGCTTCAACTTGCTTAGGCTTAGGATTGGGCTTGGGCATAGCTTAGGCGTAGGCGTAGGCTTAGGTTTAGCTTAGGTTTAGGCTTAGGCTCACAAGTTCCCCACCCTAGACTTTAAGTGATCTTCAAACTTTTCAATCTCCACCTCCCCCTGATCCCATCATCAAAAATCCAAAAATCCGATCCTTGTTCCTCTAAGTACAGATCCAACCTCCCAAAAAAACTCCACGCCACCCCCCGGGTCGCGTCAAATTTACAGCAAATCGCGCGGCGCACTCGAATCTGGTCACTCCCCCCGGGATTTTTTGCGAGGTTGAAGGTCAAAATCGAAGGGGGGAGGTGCATTTATAGCTTGTAATCGATGTTGCTGGGGGAGGAGGAGGTGGTGATGGGCGACCCTGAGAGATCCCCGGGGATTTTCAGCAGTGGCTAGGTGGGGCTGATATCGACACGTGGTTGGGGCATGGTCCAGGATATGCAACTCGAGGCGGCTGGGCGTTCTTTTAGTTTAGTGCTGTCTGTCTATCTGTCTGTCAGCGTTCGTACTTTCTAAAATGATCTTATGCTCGATTTTGCAGGCCCCAAAAGTTCGCATAATTTTTGAAGAACAATTATTTGTTTCCGGTTGCTTCAAGCGCAGCTTCAGGCTACGAAGACGGCTACTTACGTAGAGACTCTGAGCCCTAGAGCGACGCGCAAACGGTCATAGGTGTAGACGTACAGCTCTACAACGTGACTTTAAAGACCTCTGAAAGCCGGAAACGGAAATGGATTTTGAAGCTTGGCTTTTCTTTGCGTCTTGGATTTTGACTCCTTAGGACCTGATCTTTCTGATCCTGATCCTGGTTCCTGAACCCTGATCTTCGCACCAAGCGGCCCCGCGTCGCGCGTGGCGTTCGTTGGCGAGAGCGAATTAGTGAGAGAAAGAGAGCGAGAGAGAGAGAGAAAGAGAGAGAGAGAAGGAGAGAGAGAAAGAGAGAAAGAGTGAGAGAGAGCTATTGATATCGTAACGTGGTTAGCTCATGTCTCATTCTCAAGATATGCAACTCGGCCCACCGGAGCGTTCTTTTAGTTTGGTGTTGTCTAACTGTCTGTATCGCCCTGTCTGTCTGTCTGTCCGTCTATCTATCTCTACCTTCGTACTTCTCGATATGACCTTATAACTTTAGCAAGAAATGAGAGAGCGGGTGGGGAATTCTGCGGTGGGTGTGGGTGCTGGTCTGCTAGGCGGCTCTTGACCCGCCGCCGGGCGCGAAAACAGATTTTTATCGGCTGCTCGGAAGTGCTGTCGGGTTTTTGCGGAGTTTTTGAAAGAAAACGGAGACTAGTGCAAAAGGAATACCGATGGGAGAAGCACTTTAAAGGCACTGTGAAGGTAAGGATTGATCGATCCAGCTGAATGGCATGGCGCCAAGTTCTGGATGAAGCTTTTAAGAAGTTCAAGCAGTTGAATAACGCTTAAATAAGCTGTGTACCGAGAGTTTTGAATTTTAAAGGCACTGTGAAGGCAAGTAGCGGCCAAAGCTGGCTAAAATGCGAGCTCGTGGAGCTTCTAAAAATCTTAAGCTGCTTCGATTGCCAAAATCCGTTCTAAAATTTTTGAAATTACTTATTAAAAGGGGCCAGAAACCCAAGAATCGACGTCTCTGTTCGACTAGGTCTCGACAACAACGCTACGCTCCAAAACAGTGGACAAAATAAAGCTTCTTTGTCTCGAAAAGCTCGCTGCTATGTCGTTTTCTAATAGGATTTCATGACTTCGAAGTCTATAGTGCGATCTGGTGTAGCTGTCGATACCTAACAGACACTATTGATTTCAGCACTTCCCAGACCCTTTAAAACCCATCAGTCTTCCCCAGTTCCACTACAACGCACCACACTTGCACTCTCCCACCCCTCCTACGTACCAATTGCACTTTCCACTCTCCCATCCCTCCCCCTCATTGCCATGCCGTCCTTTCGTAATACGGTTTTCCCATGTAGTGATGTTTGTCTCTCGATCGAGCTACAGTATCCCATATCTCCTGTCCACAGTATACATTTGCAAACAGAATCGTTTATTGCGGAAGACATGCCCGGGGGGATTGATGAATGTCTCAGCGTACACATATGGACATACCCAACAGCGGGGGAAGGGACCATAGACATGGGACTTCCGGAATTCCGATCAAGACTTAGCCAATGGGGGAGAGGGGTAGGAGGACGAGGTGCGGGGTGGGGTGGGGAGGATGATGGGGAGAAGCATGGGTTTGGGCTTAGCTTAGGCTCAGCTTGGGCTTAGCTTAAGCTTGGCTTCGGCTCAGCTTAGGCGTAGCTTAGGCTTATAGTTAGGCATGGGCTTAGACATAGGCTTAGGCAGGCTCAGGCTTAGGCTTAGGTTAGCTTAGTCCTGGACTAGCTTGGCATAGGCTTAAGGCTTGGCTTAGGCTCAGCTTAGGCTAGCCAAGGCCTTAGCACCAACCTTACCCCCAACCACCAGCTTACCCCATCAGTAGATGACCAGGGCCCGGAACAGGGGCGGAAAACGAAGAGCGTAGAGTTGGGTCAAAACATTGCACATAATTCCAGATATACCGAGGCGCTACAGGACGGGAAAAAGATTTGCTCGTTTTCAGGAGAGGAATTGGGTGGGTGGGGATTCTGACGATGACGCATTAGGGGCGTGAAACTGGGTGATTGGCAATTAGGACAGTTAAAATACAGCAAAACCTGATAAATGCCTAATGAATAGACGCCTCAACAAAAGGGGGTGACGAGTTGTTGAGTTCAGTGCAAGCAACCCCCAGATTCGAGAAAGCGAAAAAATCGGGGTGCCGGGCCAGGCCTGAACGAGTCTGGACGCGATCGCGCGACCCCGATTTCGCCGGCCCGGCCATGACAAGTTAAAATAATAATTAAAACTTTATAAAAATTAAAGGGTGGGGGGGCACTGGAAAGAAACCCCCCCCCCCCCCCCCCCCCTGCTACGAGGGGAGGAGCCGGGCACCCTAAATAAAGTTCCCCCGTGAATCGATAAATCCGAAAACGCCGACAGCGGTAGGAATATTCTGGGGTTACGGTAAGAAAATGGACGCCGCCCTGCGGCACAGAAAAGTGTGAAACGGGGATGGAATAGAATTTTCGACAGTTTCCAGGTCCCCGTGAAGGATATGAGAATTGATCGGCAAATTTCCTGTAAAATATCGAATATTGACTGGTAATCTATGTCGATGATGCTTGATTTCCGATCACCGCTTTCCAGACACCGACGACAACTATTCATTCGTCAAATCTTCATGCCACCAATACCAATTTGGGAGTCGCTAAGCCTATTTTGGGCAAAAGTACTACAGCGAAGCCATATTACGAACAGGTGTCTCGCCGGCAAATCGGAAATCTTCATAAACGGCGGGCCCTAAAAATGGGAGTTGTACTGTTGCCATTGTAGCATAGTCTTGGCTGCAAAAATTTGAGCTTTTTCCAGCCCCTTTAGTTTGTTAAGTGCTTCCGGATGAACCGGCAGTCAGTCAATGGAATTTTTTAGTTTGCTCTTCACTGACATGTTTTGGTGGTGTGTAAGGATCCTTGCAACATTATTATGGCTGGGCATGGAATGCCTTTCTCTCACGCCGAATGGTCTCGTTTCCGAAATTGCCTCCTTTCCTCTGGTTGTCTTTTACAAAATCTCATCTAAAGATTTATATTTTGCCTAGTATTTAGAGCCTTTTAATAGGAATTGAGTTATTTTTGTGATAATTCCATAGTCAGAAAAGGAATACGTATATTTTTGAACCGCCTGTGTCCCGATATGAGACTGTTTTTAGCTAAAACAACCTGCTAACTTTTTATTAAGATTTTACGCCGCGCGATTTCTAAGTATCTATGAATTAATAATTATAAAACCCGGTACTATTGAAGTTGGGGGGGGGCAAAATTTTTTTCGGGTCATTTTTGGGCTAATTGGTCAGCTTTTCTCTGGCTTAGGCTTAGCTTAGCTTAGTATTGGCTTGGCTTAGGCTTTAGCTTAGGCTTAAGCTTAACTTAGGCTAGGCTTAGAACTAGTTTAACCTAGGCTTAGGCCTATGCTTAGCCTAAACCTTAGTACCTGGCCCTAAGCTTGGCTTCGTCACAGCATCACTGCTTTTGGCTGCGACTTAGCTTTGTTCAAGCTCAATTTAACTGTGCTTCGGCTTAGCTTAGCTTAGGAGTTGAGTATTGCGCTGGATTAGCCACGAAAAACTGATCAAGTAGCCTAAAAATGACCTAAAAAAATTTTGCCCCCCCAACTTCAATAGTACCTAAAACCCTTTTTGTAAATATTGTTGGCAACAAAATGATGTGTACTTTTGCAAAAAACCCAAGGTGATCTCCCCGTTTGCCTGATACCGCCAATGAGAGGAGGGGTCGAAAAATTCTGTATGCCCCGTCATCAGCGTTATCTCGCTGATGCCAGCCCCATTTTGGGCTCATCAACTAGCGGGGGTGATTCACCACATTTTGTATAAAATCCCCGGCACTTTCGGGTGATTTCACCTCGCCGCACCTTCAAGGAAGTCGTCTTTTCTACAGTATCGAAGCCAGAAGCCTCGAAAAATGTGCTGCTCCAGCGTCGGCCAGATCGTCTTTGGCATCGTCATGTTTGCGTGCTTCTGCTTGACGTTGGGAGCCATGTTTTCGCCGGGTAGGTGAAGCAGAATATTAGGCATTGTGGCTCTTAGAAAGCGTAGGAGCTAAAAAAACGGAAAAAGAACAGTTTATAGTCATTAAAAGCGCATTTTTGGCGTCTAACCGACGCCTAAATATCAAACAAATCTAAATGTATCAATTTTAGAATGGCGAACATTCAAAGATGACCTCGACGACACGGCAAAAGATCTGGATGTTCATTCGGGCATCTTTTCGTTCAACTGTCGAATGCCGGGAAAAGAGGAAGGGTCCTGCGACGATTGGTGGGATGTAAGTGGCAAAAAAAGGAAAATACAACAACATCATAAAATTAAGGTTATCCTAGCAGCCTACCGAAGTTTTTACAGAAATATGGCAGGAGTTAGCTCTGAAAATCTACAAAATATCTTTTTTTTCAGCGCCGAAATCCTCTCAGTTGATTTTACTAAAGCTGGATGATACTTTTATTTGTATACAAGATCTTCACCTGTAAAGAAACAACTATTTAGAACCTCCACACCTGGGAGAAAGTGACGGTCACGTGCATGTGCTTGGCGCTGGTGACAGAAATCCTCTGCTTGGCCTGGAATCTGATTACGTTCTGCGCGTGCTGTTGCAAGCAGGTAATCAACGGAACAATATTACTTAGCTCTACGCCTAAAATCATACAATTTTAACGTTAAGGTAAAATTTTCAGTATATCATCCACCCCCTGAGCCTCTTCGCGACGTTGGTTTCCCTGTTTTTGGGCGTTGCGGTCATCGTTTACGGCGCGAACAACAAGGATGCGTTTAGTAAGTTTCAGATTGAACTATATTAAATTTATTATACTTATCTATATGAAAAATTACATAGCCTCTACTTTTTAGAAGATCTGAAATGGAAAGCCCCTGACGAGTCCAGCGAGGTCGGCTACTCATTCTATTTAGCCGTCGCTGCCGTTGTCCTGTCTGTGTTTGACATCTTCGTCGCTGGCATTACCGTATTCTTCGCCAAAAAATGCTTGTAAATTTGGGATTTTACGCTTTAATTTGATGCATCTTTTCATGCTTCACTGTCTCACAAAATCCGGGTCCTTTATTCCTGCTATTAATGCTGTGATAAAACATACACAATACTTACAAAAGCAAATAAATTAATGACGGCTACACGACGATACTACTGCCACCGTATGCAAAACACAAATGACTAGCACACTGTTTGGTGGATAAATTTGGGCACGGGTCGGATTGCCAGTGGTGGATGATCAAGGAATCGGGGCCCGAGTTTTTGAGGGTGAAGTTTTGGTTGTAGAGATGGACGAGGACAGTACGGCCCTGAACATGAAAAAGACGGATTACTGTATGTCAAAACAATCCCAATTACGCTCAAACGCAATCGGAAAATGAGGATCAAAACCGCATCTGGCAATGCTGGTCGCGATCATTATTGTTCAATTTCTCGTGAATTTTTGATGTTTTGCATTGTCAGATCCTACTAAAAATTTAATAACTAATCCAAAAATTTAGCCTTCAAATCCGCTGCTCAAAAATATACTAAATTACACCAAAATACATTGAGAAGATCTAGATCAAAAGGTGGATTAAGTGTAAAAATTAGGTATAGCATAGTCGTGCGTCGTCGATGTCGTTCTTGGTAAACTTCTCGTGAATTTTTGATGTTTTTTGATTGTTAGGCTTGGCTAGCAATTCCATAACTAATCCAAAAATTAACTGACAAAATCTTCTATGCTCCAAAATACGCCAAATTACGCTAAAATACCGTCCAAAATTTGCTGTTACCCGAACACCCTCGTGTTTTTGCGTAGCCAGTCCACTGATAAGCACACTCACCTTGGCCTGTGTGCTGTTTGCCAGCTCCAGAATTTGGTGTTGGGTTTTCTCGGAATTTAAGTCGCTAAAACCAAAATACCTCACTTGAAAATTACCGTAGTTACCATACCTCTCCCCACTAAACAAGATGTGAATCGGCGGCTTTCCACAAAATAGGTCTCCAAGCCCTTCCGGGACTTTTAAAGGCACCGAATGCGTCAGGAAAATGAGAGAAAATAGGATTACTGTAGGTAGCGCGGTTCTTGGCATGTTTTTGGGTGTTTTTAGTGCCCGGCAGGTTGGTTTATCCGGTCGGCAGCCATTAGCATGTCGATAAATATTAGGGGAAATAAATAAATACGAGTATTTGCCAACAATTTTGACGTAACGCCGTTGTTCCCGGGTTTTGTAAAAGCAGGGAAAAGCGTTTTTTAGGACTAGAAATCCGTTTTGAATCCAAATTCGTAATTTCCGGGGCGCGCGGATCGATTCGGAAAACGATTAGCTGTCTGTGGATGGGTGTGAATCGGAAATTCGCGTGTGCTTCCAGCCATTAGTCCACGTTTTATGAGCAAAAACGGTCAAATAATGGTAGTACATATCGGGGAAATGGGTTGGTTATATGATTATAATGTTGTAAAATAGAAAGGTAGCAAGGAAAGTTCCATTTTTTACGTTTAAAACTTTGCAACTAGTTTTTTCAACTTTTAAGCAATCGATTACACCTTTAAAAATGTTCCTTTCCTGGCTTCCATTCCCAAAACATTTTACACATTTTTAAAACTCATAATTTCACCGACTAAGTAAACATTTAGGGGACAAATGAATACGGGGGACTAGAGATATGCGAACGCGACGAAAAACGGGCCGGGGGAATACGGTAAAATTGCGGAATCAGGGGCAACTTTTAGCAACGCAAAGGTATAACGTGATGGGAATTACACAACCACTCGGGGTCAAATTTCAAAATTAAAGAGAATTTAAATCTTTAGCTAAACACACATTTTTCCGGGCGGGGGCACCTCGTGACGCGGCGAAGAGATTTTTATGTCGTGGTGGTGGGGGTTAAAGCTACGAATTTTTTAGGTTTGTTTTGGGGGTGTAAAGATTGTGAAACGGAATTACAGAACGTAATCGAACAGGAAAATCCAAATTTAATTCTTATCCAAATCTGATCGGGAAGAGTGTGCGGAGGAGCCGCGTGGCGATGTGATGCCCTGCTCCTCGAGGTGTTTTCGGGTCAGGAAACCGCTAAAAATTTGAATATAAAAAAATACAAATAATTTTTACTCTTAAAAGTGCAATTGAAAACTTATTAAGTGCTGCACGATACATTGTTTATATAGATAATATTTTTATTAACTTTTCACTGGTTATTTCGGGGTACAAAAGCCACTGGTTTGTGCGGAGACGATTCTTTCCAGGGGTGAGAATTAGGTATATTGTTTTAATATCTACAACTGAAGTCGTAATATGATAATGTCAACCTTGTATATAGGATATAGAGATTAGCTGAAAGGTTTTTTAATAAAAAAAAAGATAAGGAAAAGCTTACCGAATGTGGGCTTGGATTTTGGTGGCGGCGGTGTTGTCTTCTTTCTTCATTTTTTCGACCTTCTTGCGGGCGAGGAAGCCGCGGATTTCGGACTGGAAAAACGTATGTATTTTATAGGTCTTGTCACAAGTAACCTCAAATGTATCAAAAAAACCCTGACAAAAGCGTCAACTGGCGTGTGTTAATTCTGGTAAGTTCCGGTAATACCGTTTTCCTTACCTCATTTCGCAGCCTTTTTGCTCTAATCTCTTTCTGATCGTGGCGTAATTTTCATATAGCTTTTGTGTACAGAGTTTTGCGTAATTTATAAAAGCTAGTCGAAGCCTGTAATACCTGAATCTTGGTAGCAGCACGATCTTCAGGCGAGTCCGACTCCAAGGTATATCCGCCAACGCTGTGGCGCCTAAAAATACAAAAATTTGCAAATTACGTACGACCCTTTCTGGTGTTTTTCGATTCGCAAAAGCTCAAGCTACACAGGAATTACTTAGAGAAGCTACAGTAAGCAACTTGCCCGGATCCTTCATTAGAAATAAAAAAAATAGAAAACAGATCGAAAAATAAAAGTTAAAGCACGAACTTCATGTCCTTCTTGTTATCCACATTGCCGATGTCCATCTTGCCGCTGCTAGCCGTGCGGCTCATCGTCGGCTTGATGCCAAAGCGTTCGGGGTGTTGGCGGACCTAGCAAAAATAGAATTATTACGGTATTTCAGACAAAAAATAATGCCAACAGGTCATAAGCTTGAGAGGAGCATATTAGATCATAGAAAAAGGCTTTTCTTCTTGCGAAATATCATATAAACCAAGGTAACCTTAAAATTAGGGGATTTTAAAAATGGTTTTGCACGTGCTTGTATGTCGGGTGGTACCCTCCGTATTTAAGCGAATTACCAAGATGTCAGGAGCATAAAGTTAGGAGGAAGAAGTGGAGGAGGTGGAGGATGAGGAGGATGAGGAGGCGGAGATATTAGCAGCTCTTAATCTTAAGCTCCCCAGATTGCTATACCTTAAAGGCAATTTAAAGCGCTGCTTCAAAGAGCATGAAAATCGACACACTCGACCCCCCTTTCAAAACAATCAAAATCGATCTGCTCATCCTATCGGCGGGAAGCAAAAAAAGGTGCGGCCTGTCCGGGAAAATAATAAATGACGAAAATAGCCATTGGCACCGGGGCACCGGGAAAACCCGAGAAAATCAGCGGAATAAAATTTGCGGCGTTCGCGACGTCGGCCAAGCCGTGGCCGGGGTGCCATTTAGCGGGGCGGTCGTAAAATCGGCCGGAGGGTCTCAGTTCTGGGGGGGGAAAGCTTTCGCATGATTGGGTAATTTAATAAATTAGATATTGGCGGAGGGGAGGAAAAGTTGAGTCGGCAAAAATTATCCAGAGGGAAAAATAGTATTTTTAAAGGCACCTGGACGCAAAAAAAGGTATCGCTTAAAAGAGCCAAAAATCCTAAGAGGTTGGAAAGCCTTTTGGGCCGCCCAGGAGCCTAACCTAACCTATGCAAAATCTTAAACCTAAGTTAAGCCTTAGCCTAGTCCTAAGCGCACTCATGCAAATTAAAAATTTTCTATGGTAAAACTATCCAGAAAATGGCCAGAAAGCTCTAACTCCTGAAAAAGAGATTTTCTCAATGATCTCCGCACGCTTAGACAATTCCTACGTAACTCCTATTCATGAAAATTTGCAAAACGGCCGCTCATTAGGGCCAAAAACCTTGAGAATCTATGGGCCTATTGTTGCCGGAGGGCCCAGCAAAATGGAGGCGGAACAGCCTTGCCGAGCATTTCGCTCAAGCCGCGAATTGTTTAGATAAGAGGCGGCGAAAAGCCCCGAGCACGCAAAAGACGCGTCGAAATTTTGGATTATGCTTTTGGCGTGGAAATATGGGAGGTGGGGTGGTTTTGACGTAGTCGAAGGGGTTCTGGACGTAATTTGGAAACTAGCGGAAATGTTTTGGGTGGAGGATCGATAGCTGCAGGTGAAAATAGACATGGAGGTATGGACTTTGAGCCCGGGGGCACCTGAAATTTGGTCATTACGTTTTTGGGTAAAGCGAAAATTCAGTTTTTCTGCAGATGCGATAAAGCCGACAAGGAATCCAAGAATCGACCCTTTCCGGTGGCTAGGCCTGGATAGATACGTTACACGCCAAAATACGTCTATGCGAACTATCGGATTTGGCGTAACGTTGAAAGACACAGTAGTAGTAGCATCGGTGTGTAAAAGCATGTAAGCACCATTTAGCGCGTAGTTATCGATACCTAACCAAAAATAGCGTCGATTTTTGTTTCCCGGTCCCTTTAAAGAGATAACGACGGCATAAGTAATGGGTGACGCGAGGGAAAGGAAATGTCTCCGCGTCTAGCCCTTGCGCGCGTTCTCGGCCCTGTTGGCTACGTGCCAAAAGTCGATCAGGGGTGATCGACCTATGCCGTCGGTATCCCTTTAATATGAATAATTGATACCCTAAAACAGTTCTTACCATAAGAAATTTACTTCTTATTTTTAAGCTATGTTGGCAACTCTAGCTATAACCAAAACCACGAAGTCACATTACCACTCATAGTGAGAAATTCCGCCTTGAACCGACACCTGGGCCTTATATCGTATCGCCAGAAGGGAGGAAATTCGGGCGAATGCCCAATTCTAGACCCCCGCGATACCGGAAGTGCCGGTGGCCCTCGGTGGGTTTTTGCGCCTGGGACCAGCCGGGCGATTTTTTTGGGCGTCGCCATTTCGAAAACTACCCCTACAGGAAGTTCAGTATAATAAAGTAACAAGAGGGGCAATGGCGTGGCGAGGTGCGGGGCGGCTTTGAAATCCGGGTGCGACGATACCTACCGGCCGAAATGTTTGTGCGCCACACGGGTAGCGTATTTGCTTGGGGGGTGGAGAGACATATAGTGAAGAAGCCGAAGGGGGCGGATCTACCGGGTGTCAGAGTGTCGCCGGCTTTTTTGTTCTATGATAAGTAGACGGAAGAATAGAAGGGTGGAAGATTTAAAACAAAAATACTACTTGACGTACTACTTAAATTACGACTTTGTCGAGGCAAAATATAATTTATATAGATAAAATATAATATAATGAGTTTGAAGTACGACGTTTTGCGGCGCAGATCCTTGAACCAAGCGGTGATAGTTTTTTTTTGTGGCGAGAGAGCGAGAGAGAACAAGCGCGATGGTTATTAGCGAAGTAGCGTAAAAATTAGGTTATCGGACCTAAAAAGTGACAATAAAAATCGATAATTCCAGGGTTTTAGGGTGCTGGTTGAAATTTCAAAATCCTCCGCCTAAAATTTTTTAAACATAAAACTAATAGGACAAATCTGCTGCTTCCGGAAAGACTCAGCCGTGTAATTTATGATATTTGCATAAAACGTAATAGAACCCCGAAAAAACTCACCAAATGGCCCTTGAAAGCCGCCTGAATCTTGCTGGCCGCCTTGTCCATCGGAGATTCGGGCCGTTCGGGCTGTCTCGATTGCACCTCGGCGTGCTGGAATTTGTCACATTTGGTCGTCAATACACGGGGGGGACGAATTGTTCTCAAATATCCGACGGGGTCGGTGAGCAATGTGTTTTTTGTGAGGTCTGGGTCGGATATATGAACGGAAAAAACCATAGGAAAGGTTAGGAAGCGTTAAGATATGTAGGGCTGAGCCATTGGCTGTGAAATCGACGAGAATCGGAAGCGAGAGAGGGAGAGAGAGAGAGAACGGGAGGGCGAGAGAGAGAGAGAGAGAGAGGGCGATAGCTGGCTAACCTGCTCAAAATCAATTTTACTCACCCGTCGCTGCAAATCGGTGCGGAACATCTCGTAGGCGAGCGGCTCGCTGATGATGTCGGTATTCGGATTGCCTGAAAAATAGCGCGTATTTTAACACCCAAAAACCGAACACCCCAACCGCCAAAATGAATAAAAGACCATTATGACATTATAACCCGTCCGGGGCCCAGCAGCGGACCCAAGCACTTACGTGCCATTTCTCGAAAGGGCTGATGGAAAAAAGGCGAAAAACAAGGGCCACCCGGGGAGGTGGGGGTAGATCTACTGGACAGCCGGCGTGCTCCGGAAATTGGGCTGATTACGGTGGGGGAGCGGATCCGGAAATTAGGGGGGACCACGTCGAAAGGGAGGATCTACGCACGTTGAAGCTGGGTTTCATTAGCGAAAATCAGGAGTAAAGCAATCGAAAAGGTAGTAATTATACTTTTGACGGGTTCCGAAGTCTTAAAAATTGCCTTGAAAACTTTACATACTTGAAAAAATTCGATAATACGATAATACGATAATAAAAAGCTGATATCTTATTGTTAGAGCTTCAGGAGGCCTGAAAAATTGCTGGAAATTTTCCATCAGAGAGCCGTGGCTGCCTAAAAAATCGCTGAAAATGTTTATAAATTTTTAGAAATGTAATAAAATGCGAATTATGCTAGAACGTAAGGTGCAGAATGATGCTTCCGCGATTTAGCTTCAGCAGAAACAATTTGTGTCATACTTTTTTTTACCAGTGCATTTATTGGCCGACACCGGGGGACCACCGGGAGGCAGACGGCTAGCTGTCACAAATTTATTCAAATGAATTCCGGGCGGATTGGCCGGGCGAGGATTCGAAAAGCTTGTTTTCACATTCCAGGCCACCCCCTCACTCCAAAAGCCGAATACATTAACGCAATTTTTTAGTGATGGATATGTGATTTTGGAGGTTAGGGCACGCCATCGAGCGTTTGCAGGGCCGAAAAGATCGGGGATATCCCAGGGAATTGATAAAAAAAGTTACGGAATATTTTAGGTAGCCAGACGGCGGAATTTGATGCATTAACGCAAGTTAAACAGGATATATTAGTTTTGTCTAAGCTTCGCAGAGCTTTAAGGTAAGCCTAAGACCCCCAAACGTGCCAAAGAGTCAACCCAAAACCTTCCGCCTGGCTCCACCCCGTTCATTCCACCACGCTAGATGCCGGCTTCCAAGAAATTCCGACCGATTCGTAGCCGTATGTGCGTGCCGAGGTACCCGACCCGGAGCTCAAAAAATTGGAGTTAACAGCGGGGCCAAAAAGCGTGGTGAGACTCGGGTAGTGGTAGAAGGAATGGGTTGGTAGGGGTTTTCCGAGACTGAACGCCAGAATAATCGGGTAAAATCGTCAAAATTCAAGTGGCGCGAAAACTTTAAAGGGGCTGGGAATCGGAGAATTGCCATGATCGACTAGGTATCGACAGCTCGTATACAAGCTAGCGAAAATGTCTGATGCCTAACTGTCGAGAGCTAGCGGATGCCAGGCGTCCATTGCAATGAAAAATTCGAGTAGCTCGACAGTCATGCTCCCTTAAGAACTCCGAGGCCAACGAAAAGCAGCTTAAAGCAGCTTGAAGTACGTACATCGCTTTGAAGCCAGCTGTCACCTTAAGAATGGAAAAATTCTGAAAAAAGGGCCAAAAAGTGGATCAAAGTTTCCCTTTAACAAAACGCGTTCAAAAATACCAACGAGGAAAATCCAATGCATTTCTTAGGAAATGACGCTCCAATCCTCGGGATGTCCATGCGGAACCCAAGGAATGAGATGGGGTAACCACATTGTTACTAGGATTTGGCGTTTCTCTCACTCACACTCTCTCTCGCTCTCACTCTCTCTCCATCTCCCTCCTCTCTCTCTCTCCATCTCCCTCCTCTCTCTCTCTCTCTCTCTCTCTCTCTCTCTCTATCGTTCTCACTCTCACTCTTCTGTGATGTCTGTTTTCTGGGCCCTCCCCTATGGCTGTTTGAGGACCCAAATTGGGTGCACACGCGCCGTGCAAGTGGTCTTCCCCCTTCTACGGCATCCGACGCTACCAATATATTTATCCGGACCGCCCGGTCGGTGGGTGGGTATGTGCTGGAGACCGGATGTTGGGGCTCCGGGAGTCTTTTCGGACATGCCGCAAATTCCAACCGCCAATTCCAACCGGGACCCAAGCATGGGGCCCCACCACGGGTTCATGACCGGGGAACAGGAAGTTTGGATTAGTGAACGATACTAGCTGAAGGTGGCCCAGGTGCTCCGGATGGATTTTGGGTTCATGTGGATTTTTGTGAATGTTCCTTTTTTGGGCGTTGGAGTTAGGTCCTTAGCGAACGAGAAGCAATAGAAATTTCGCGAAATTCATGGAATCGAAAACAGGTAAATTTTGGGGGTTTGTCCCAGTTTGAGAGTTTCTTTGCTTCATCTAGATCACGAATTTTTGGCACCAAATTTGGAAAAAATACCTGTGTTTTCGCCCCGGTTGTAACCGATTACGCGACATAAAACCTTTGGAGCACTGTTCAATAAGCAACTACAGAAAGCGCTTATAATAAAAATTCTCGGAGCTACTCTTGCGCTTAACCGCTTACGCAATATAAAAACCCCGAATATTACTATAAAATAGATATCTACAGTAAGTCAGAAGAAACCTAACAATAAATCAAACAGAGTATAGAATTAGGAGTAGCATAGAAGTAACCTTTACCTTAAAAATTCTAGGTGGATCTACAACCGTTGAAAATATCAGACGTGCGATCCGTCGGGGTAACCCACCGGAAACGGATTGGAAGGTGTGCCCGGAACTTAATGGGGCCCAAATAAGCCTAATCCAAAATTAGGTTGTCAATTAACGATGAGGTACTGTAGCTCGGAAAAAAAACGGATCAAACCCGCCCCGAGTAAAGAGAGAGACTCTCAAATATGGAGATGAATGGACTCACTCTTCTGGTGGTGGGCAAGGTTGTCGAAGAAGAGCTGGCCAAAGGTGACGAGGTCCTTCGGCTGGGCCCGGATGGATTCGCGGGCCAGCGCCTGAAATAATCATGGGGGTTTTCGTGTGATAGCTTGTGGATTTGTGTGTTTTGGAGCGTAGCGCATATCTGGGAGCATCAACATCATATCGGGGCAATGGTGTCAGATTTTGAAAACCAGAAAAATTCTTCGAAAATCCTTTAAAACGCGCGCGACAGGCTGAAGCGACACACGCGACGCGTGATTCCATTGCGTAACGAGTTATTCTACACTTTTCGCGCCTTGCGGGCGCACAAATACAAACGAGTGGAAATTGCGCAACCCGTTAAGGACATTTAATAAGTTCCTATACCAGTAAAATCGGATTGATTTTCGCTTCTAGCGGCCAAAACTAATTGCCTTGCCGTCAAAAAACTCCGTCAAAAATAGATTACGGTAATTGAAAAGGCAACTCGTGATACTAGGAATTCATTTCCGAGCAACACCTGCTTGCATGGTCCGCATGGCAGGTGCTTTTTAGATCGGGACCAAACTTCTCGTACTCATTATAAAGGAGCAAAAATAGCTTGTTATCGTTTTTGATTTTCAGTTTGAATTTATAAAAAGTGTGGCAGTGGAAAAGGTTACCTCGAGGAGCGGCCGGAGGCCCTCTGGCACTCGGAAACGATCGTTGCTCATACCCGTTTCTGAAAAAATTGGGTTAGATGGCTTCGAAACGAGAGAGAGAGGAGAGAGAGTGAGAGAGGGAGAGAGAAAGATATATATCTAGCTGGAGAGAGACGGCAAGAGACAGAGACAGTGAGAGAGATGGAAAGAGAGAGAGAGAGAGAGAGAGAGAGAGAGAGAGAGAGAGAGATGGAAAGAGAGAGATGGAAAGTGAGAGAGGGAGAGAGAGAGCAAGCGAGAGAGAGAGAGAGAGAGAGAGAGAGAGAGAGAGAGAGAGAGAGAGAGAGAGAGAGAGAGAGAGTAAAAGAGACAAATTCAGCGAGATCGTTCGAAAATCGTAGAAAAAGCCACCGAATGAAAAAGCGAAGCTACCGCAATTTTTCAACGAATATTTCCCCGATTTTGAACCAACAAATGCCGGAACCTTCCACGATTCTGGGCCCTAATCTTCAGCTTCTCGGGCCACCCTCCCCTCCGACACCTGCTCCACAATCCGTCGCCATATATTTATGAAATGTGGGTGTGCCGGCGGTGTCGGGTCGGGAAGATTAATCCGCTTCACCCTCACAAACATACCAAACCCCCCTCAGCGATGTTCTCTCACAACCGCCAAAAATAGGTTATAGTAGTCGGTGGTGATACCAAAAAGTGGATGAATGGGTCTGGGCCGGTTCAGCTGGGTCCAGACGATACTTTAAAGGAGTGGTGAAATGAGCAAAAGTGCCAAATACAGCGTTTTCGATGACATAAGATGCCGTTAAGAGGTGTGAAACGTTGTTAAAGTGGCGTAAGCGGCTAAACCAAAAATCCAAGAACGATTTTGAGCATTTACACACTTAAAATCGCACTAACTTAACCAAAATCGATACCCACCATCTCCAACTTTCCGGAACAGTACTATCAACCCGCAAAAGTACCCAAACTCACCGGCGGGAAACCCCTCTAAAACGTATAGAAGCCGCCCAAAAATACCCGGGAAAATCCGGCAAAAAGAGGGAGCATTTCCCGGGGCGATTCTCAATTAATTCCCGCGCCCCGACATTGGTTGGATTTTGGACCCGAATCCAGTGGTTTTTTTGGGGGGCCGATGTCTGGGGCGTTGTGGCGGCCATTAGGGAAATTGGAATTTCGGAATAGATTAAGGGGAAAAAATGAATGGCGTTAGGATGGTTTCGGAAGAGGTCAGGGTTGTGGTTGGATATTGATGTTATGAGAGCGAGAGAGAGAGAGTGAGAGAGAGATAGAGAGAGAGCGAGAGAGAAAGATCGTTTTCAGCGTGAATCCTTCCGATGAATATTTTTTCAGGCGCGAGAGAAAGAAAGCGAGAGAGAGAGAGAGAGAGAGAGAGAGAGAGAAAGAGAGAGTGCCAAAGAGCCCTAAACGCCATTAAATCCAAGTATTTACCACACCCGAAAAAATCAAGAAAATCGAAGGAAGAGCCATGAAATCCCCGTGGTGATTATTTGCTTTTCTGTGCGTGCCGAAGGAACACGGGCCCGAGACGCTGTCCATCAACGAGAAAAAAAACGAGAGGTTAAAGGGAATGAGTGTGTAAGGGGAGGAGGATGGAAAGGGAGGGTCACACCGGCTGACGCATTTCCCCCTCGCCCGGCCACTGTTTTTCCGCACCAAACATACGATAGTTACGGTTTGGGTTTGTTTTGCTTAATTATAAGAGTTTTAAGGTTTTGGGATTGTGACGCTTAAGGCATTTTTATACGTGAAATTATATCTAAACGCTTATGTAGAGGCAAAAAAGAACTGGAAAATACTTGTGATCAGACGGATTAATTTTCATGTTTTTGTGTTAATAGTTTATTATAGTTTGCCTTAAAAAGGGAAATGATAAAAATAACCTAGAAGCTTTATTTTAGAAAAATCCGGGGAAAAAGATAGACTCAAAGTTGTAGGTCTATTTATTGTAACGAAGCCAAGCCATTTTTACATACACTTGTAATGAATAAATTTGGCAAAGTCATCCTCAATTTACTATTGTATGTTTTATCTTTGATTTTCAAAGTACGATAAGTCCAACCGGAACCTGACGTCGCAGAGGAGCTCAAGATAAATTTAGCCGCACCTGCCCTCGGCTTGCCCTTTTTGCTGCTTTACGTCCTGCGTTTCCTTGCTACAACCTCTCGGGGCCGATATGCGGTTAATAAGCGCCAGGGCCGGGAAAATTGGAGTTTTCGTAAAAAAGCGATCGTAATTAAGCCCAGGTGTACGGTGGGTGGCGTGTCAAGGCAATAAAGGCGACACTTTTGGTTTTCGCAAAAAGAGAGGAAATTCTCGTGGCAACAAAAAGAGCTAAATTCCTTTAAAACTCTTAAAAATGCCACAAAATGCGGGAACAACAAAAAGTTGCTGGCTATTTAAAACCTTAATAAACTCGGTACCATCCCAAATCACAGGTCAGGTCCACAGATTAATTTCAAGAAAGTGCAAATAGATCATAATACAGAAATTATTTGCAAGCCGAAACCGCTAGAAACTAGATCTGTCCATTTTAATAAGGTGCCAGCAACTTTTGGTTGATCCCACATTTTGTGGCATTTTTAAGAGTTTTAAAGGAATTTAGCTCTTTTTGTTGCCACGAGAATTCCTCTCTTTTTGCGAAAACCAAAAGCCCTTTTTTAAAAAAACTCTTTTTAGCCTTAGAGAGAATTTAGCCCTTTTTGCCTCAATCTTATTGTTAAGATCGTAAAATAAGCCAAGGAATACTTATTCAGATGAACCCTTGTACGCAAAACTTCAAAAAAATTTGCCTGCGGCGCTTTGTGATGGCACTAGGAACCATCAGGATGCACGGGGGCCAATCGGCAAAAAGCATGCCTCGGGCGGGGTTCGAACTCGGGAGTCACGTCTTCCCAGTACAGCGTGCTAACCACTAGGCCAATGGGGAGACTGGAGGCCTATCTTGGGGAAGCTAGACCCGCCTGCCCTGACTCGGGACTGTGGCCGCCAAAGGGGAGGGTGGCGCCCCGTATGGCAAAGGTTTAAAATTATAATATCTCAGAGAAGAAGCATTCTTTCGATGCAGTTTCTTCTTTACTTATTCCGGAATGGTTTAATGCATATTTGAGCAAAATTTCAGCCCAAACGGACATCATTAACCCTTGTTTTGGCCGCAATTTAGCTTCTAAACTTAAAATTCAAGATAAATTTTTTCAAAGCCTATTTTGAAAAAAACTCTTCTTGCGGTCCGAGATTATCATTCACCCAATAACTGTGCAAAATTTCAGCCCAAACGAATGGTGGGAAGGCACTTTTTGACGACTACAATGGTTTTGCGGGCATACAGACGTACAAACGCAGACCCCCCCCCCTCGAAACGCAATTTAAATCGGCTGTTAAAATTCGAAATTTCACTATTTTTCAATTTTTAAAAGCTTATAGTATGTAAAAAGTGTCGCCCGTTCCGATGGTGTATTCAGTTTTGCGATCCGATGCTTGGTTCTCTTTTAAATCAGGAAAAGGACCCCAAAAGAGTCGTATGGGGGGGTACCTCAAACCAAAAGGGGTTAGCGGGCTACGCCCGCTAACCCCGATTTTGGCTATCGAAATTTCGCTTGCCGGCGTTTAGGTTGTCGGGAATTTGGTCTGTCGGGATTATGGCCGTCGGGATTTAGGCTTTCGGGTTTTTTTTGTTACTTGCGAGGTTTTTGGTTTTTCTATTATCACGTCAGGATTTTGGCCCGTCGGGATTATGGTTGGAACCGAAAATTTGGAGCAGCAGGCTTACAGAAGAATAAGCAAATCCGAGGAAACCGGCCGACTTAAATCCTCCCCCAGACGTTTCTAGTTCCCTCGCGTAACTAGTAGCCACGCGGAAGCGCGGCCGACATTTGCGAGGCGGCGAGTTAGTCTGCAGACAGAAGGGGCAAAATAATGGCCCTCATCCGAGCCGCCGCCGTCAAACATCAATGGTTTTGTGCGGGAGCCGGGCTGCCGAGGGATGTGGCCGGTTGTTTTGTGGAGGGTCGCGTTTTTTTGGGAATTCCATGGGTTCCGCAGCCCGGCCAGCCCATACGGACACACAAAAAATGGGGTGGAGGAAGCTCCATGGGGAGGATTTGCGAGAGGAGGAGGAGCTGGACAATAGAAACAATCCCAGCAACCCCTGGCCCCGGAAATGCAAACAAGAAAACGGCTTGATTTGATTTTGGTGGTCGTCGCTGAGGGGTTGGGCCATTTTTTGAGCTGTCTGACGTTGCGTCTGCTTGTAGACGTGGAAATTGGAAGGTTTTGGAGTTGAATGGAGGGCTAAGGCCAAGAAGATTAGCCACTAAAGGGCGATGCAAGACCCGAAATCGACCCCTAGGTTTAGACAACCACCGGATGGCCCAAATATCTTAGGGCTTTCTTGAAGCAAAAAAGGTGCAAAAAGCATGGACCTCCTTTAAGGGCTTAATTTAATTAGCTTTAAATTTAAGGGCTCCACGAGTGGGTATAAATAGCAGGAAGATTAAATATCCACGAAGCAGTTGGCGCCTAGCCTCTTGAAGAGGTAGATTTTTGAACTTCCCAGTCCCTTTAAAACTAGAAATACCGGCTATAGACTAGCAAAAAAAACTTAACAACTTAAAAAATAAATTGACTTGTTATTGTAAGAACAAATCCCTGCGGTGGTGCCAAATCCAGACGGCTCTAGGGGATATGCCAAAGAAGGTTCCTCTCGAATCTGGCCTTATGAAAAGCTCCTTATTGTTCGGGATCACAGGTTGCATGGTTTTTCGGATTTTGTCTTACTTGGTTGACAAAAACTCCCAAAATTATGCTTGGTTTTAATGGATAGTTGACCAAAAAGCGCCGAAAAACAGAATTACCATTCCCTTTGAAAACTGAGATTTGTAAATCTAGACCCTGAAAGCTATCCCCTTAAATGTATGCCCTCAAAATAGGTCTCCCAAACACGTTTCTCGTTCAAAAACGATAAACGTAATATTTATTTGCTAAACGGGACGCAGCGGGGTGGCACCGCAAAAAAAAGCTCCGAGAAATCTGCCCCCGATGGGGTCGTCGGGCAGGGATTAGCTGTGCGCCCTTGGGGCATGAAAAGAGAGCGAGAGAGAGAGAGAGAGAGAGAGAGAGAGAGAGAGAGAGCGAGAAAGACGGATAGTTAGAGAGTGAGAAGGCAAAAAAGGTCTTTCGACGAGGGCAGCCGGAATCAATTAGGGGCCCACCACCACCATCCCCAACTGATGACTTTATTCCGAAACCCGCACCACCAACGCCAGACACTCCAACTGAAAACACGCGAAAAGGCCTCGGCGTTTTAGAAGCCGTAAAAATGATTAATGGTATCTGAAGGGCAAAATTTTCATTTATGCAATGCAACTAATTGGTGCAAGTGAAAATCCCAAAGCCAAAAGCTTTCTTCAAGCCGTCATACGGTAAAAATTTGATTCCCGCGCCATTTATTGGAGTCTAACGAGGAGGTTGAGTAATTTTTCGGGGTGAAGGTGGCTTAAAGGTGTATGGACAGGTAAATGTAGGGATAGATTACGCTGAAATGCATTAGTAATCGGCATTTGAAGGAGCGAAGCTGCCTGAGTTGCTTAACGAGCCCTGCTAGCGGTTCTTAAAACCGAAATGGCACATGGATCACTACATACTGTAAAAATTTGTGGTTTTAAAGGACGAAAAAGCTAAAAAATCGACGTTCTGGTTTGACTAGGGCTAGATAGTTCGGAACGGCGCTAAAATGCGCTAAGTGCATTATTTAGAGCTAAGCGAAATAACGAGTCGATTGTAGCGCTTCATGTCCCTTGACATGCCATGATACCATAGCCGAATAATTTGACTCTTTGACTGGTGTAACATCAGATTCATAGTTTCCCTGGTGCTCATAACCCAATTCCCGGGCCCCTATTTATTGTCTAGGCGACGGAAAAGAGGAGAAGCCCAACGTGGTGTATGCTTATTTGACCAAAGGACCCAGGGGTTCCGGGGCATTCCCCTGGACGTCCTAGCCCTGGAGGTCCCCGGGTCCAAAAGGCGAAAATGAGGTTTGTGAGCCGCCTAAATGGGGCTGCTTGGTGACGGATCCGGCTCGAGGAAGAGGGGCTATGCACATTTTGCACAGCCCGAGGGGTTAGTGCTAGCCAGTAATAATGTGCGGTAGTCGCTGCGGAAATGACCAGGCATATTTCCATATTTATGGGCGAGTAGTGAGAGGGAACGGAGCTAAAAAAGGGGGTTAGAGGGTCAGAAAACGGCATTTAGATAATAATGTATAAGGTATAATGATGAATAAAAAATTGACAAAGTCTAATAAGTTCTATCAACTTATCACGGTATCTAAGTAAAGCTACAAAGAACGCAGTCCTTAAAGGCGCAGGGACACCAAGAAACCGTTAATATAACAAGAAAAACTTGTGCCAACGCAAATTCCGGAGGGGATTTGGGTGTAAATACCTTCTTAAATTCCTTAAAAAATTGTAAAAGTAACACTTGAAAATATCTGTGCTGTACATGACGCTACAAAGAGTACGTTGAAACGAATAGTCAACGGCTCTCCAAATCTTTTTAAAAGATACATGAAAAAATTCGAGAACAGCTGTAATGTACGTTACACCCCAACTAAGGAAACCATGGTTACGCCAAGAAAATGACGTAAACTCCAGCAAGAACACCCAGGAAGCGCAACAAACGAACATTTCGAAAAACATTCCAGTGCCCTAAAGCACACCTCACCTTTCCGTGAATGTTCGTGAATAGTTGAAATGATTTCATCGGATGACTAGGCACGAGGGCATCCCGACCGGCGTACGAATTCCATTCCAATTTCAACGTAAAGCACGTTCCTGACGGTTTAATTCGCTCCCGCAAATGCCATAGCGTAGGCTAGCAATTAATAAGGGCAAGATTACGTGATGCTACGACGACCGGAATTCGTAAACGAAGAAGGGGGGAAGCAATTTTCCCCATTCCGGGAGGCTAATCAGGTGCGGGGGTTGAATTTTTAAGGAGGTTGCAACGGAACAAAGGTCATGTTGGAGAGGAAGTTGGATCGATTACATCATGAAATGTTGTTAAAACGTCTGAGAAACGACCTGAAAAGTTTTAAACTTGTCTTGGGAAATCGGAAAACGCACGTGAATAAAAACGTGAAGCCCTTAAGAACGATTTGACAAAACTAAAAAGCTTGTTTAGCCTACTACGACGTTATTTTCAGTCTTAAACACAAATTAAAAGCTAAGAAAACTCATAAAAAGTATTTCATTGTATCAAACGCACTTTTGAGTGTTGGGGGATCTAGGCCGGGGGTTGTCGTGTCGCCGCTGGCAAATCGTGGGCACTAAATCTGGGCGCAAAATAGGGGCCAAATCGGGGAGGGGGCCGGGGGTGAGGAGGCCCAGATATGGGTGAAAACTCGGCTCTTTTGAGGGGCCCAAAGGTGTCCTCGCCGGCTCGACACCTCGCGACTAACTACATTTTGGCGGGCAGATGTTAGGGATGGATTTTTTGGTACTTTTCCGGCGGATTCAGGGAAAATCGGGGGAACTGAAGGTAGATTTAGATTAGATAGGTATCACTGCCCCGTTTCTGGAAAAATTTAAACAATCATGGTGACCTGAGAAACGGATTAAAATAGGTAGCTTTTAGCCTTTCTCTCTATCTCTCTCGGTGTCTGTCCCCAGCCTAAAAATCCAAATTAATTCTAAAATATCTCAAATATAAGCAAAACTAGATTCAAAATCTTAAAAAATGTTTATCTAGTCACTAGGCAGCCATAAAAATGTTTGGGGTTGGATAAAATGCCGTTCCTTTCGACAACATGTTGTCAAAATTCCCATCTCCTTCGACGATCTGATATCGCCCAAAAATAGATCCATGAACTTTTCTTGGAGAGTACGCGGCCATTACGTAGTAGTTATCAGCCGTTACGATTGAAATTACCGATTTCAAGATTCCCATCTAGACCGAGTGGTAAGGATATCTAAATAAGGAAAATAATGCTCCTGAACGAGACCTCAGAGGCAAATGGATCAAAAATGCATCGCGGTGCAGACACGGCTAGGTATCCAGGCTAAATAGATTGGCAACGCTTTCTCGGCGCTAGCTTTTCATTTTCTTTTCTTGCTTGCGCTCTCTCTCTCTCTCTCTCTCTTCTCTCAATTTTTCCCATCCCGCAAGCAAAGAGGGCAGCGCCGTTTTTTGAGTGTGGCCGCAGCTACGTCAGGGGGCAAGAGATCAAAAGTCGGCAAATTTTGGGGGGTTTCTAAACATCTAAAAAGAGATTTATAGAAATGAAGTCGGTTGATTTCATCTTCAGCGACTTCTGAAAGCGGTTTGACAATGGCTTAGCCGCAATCGTGCCTTTGCTAGTTGTTTTGGGCCAAGGCTCAAAAGAAGGGCCAGGCTACCCGAACCGGCGCGCCCAAAAATGAGGCCGAAACGTGGGTCTCCGGGCCGTGGATCGGGTTTCCCCCGGCAGCCCATCCCTCCGATCACTGTGCTAATGGGAGGAGGAGGAAGCTGGGCAGAAAAAAAGACACATCACCACGAATGAAGCCCAAAATTCCATAAATAATTATATTGAATGATCCAAGCTTCCGATACCTTTTAATAAAAAACTTTCAGTAACGTTAATGAGCAAGTGAGATCTAGGAACTAGTTTTATAGCCCCAGAGCAACAAGCAAAAAGTTCGCTCCTGGGTGGGTTCGAACCACCGACCTTTCGGTTAACAGCCGAACGCGCTGCCGATTGCGCCACAGAAGCCATGGAGGGAGGCGCCGGGGAGAGAACCAAGCGCTATGGGGGCCTTTCCCCGACCCAGTCTATGTAGATAGCAGGGAAACCTTCACTGAGCGAACAAGAAATGTAATTTGAAAAAAAGGCATGATATTGGTAGAAGTCAGCAGCATAATGTAAAACTTAAGCCAACATTCTCGTTAAGCTTGGGTTAGCCTGAGGAATATCATATCCGAACACAAAACATCTTTGAATTCCTCAAAAAAATAAAATCCTGAGAGTTAGACGCGACCTCGATTTTCATATCGTAATGCATTAAACTAACTGACCAAATAAAACCTAAGAATACAAGGGAAAGTGGTCGCAGCCGCGTTGTGCAATTTGTGGCCATACTCAGGGCTGGCCACGGGAGGTCTCGAATGAGTGGAATAATTGAGCGAGCCCTGGACGGGGAGGAGGCCCCATTAAACTCACCCATGAGCCCCAGCACCAGCCACCTGCTGCCCCACCGTTTCGAAGCCCGGGGTCGAAGCCCAGACGGCTTTATGACGGACGGCTTCTTTTTTCAGGGTGAAGCCCATAAATCAGTGGCTAGGCCCTGGGGTGACGGCGATAAATTAGGGGAACATGTCGGGATTTTCGGAGGATTTTTGGATGATTTTCAAGTCGGAACGGTTTTTAAAGGACTTCTCAATCTTAATAAAGTTTTCTTCATATTTATTACGTTTTTACAATTTTTGAAAGATTAATTATCGTCGGTCCCGTTCGGTAGGCCCAACGCTTTCCAGCCGGGTAGGTAATAATCTTCAGCTTTCAGTTGGGCTACGTATGTGGGATCCTTGGCGAATCCTTGGTTGTAGAAGACCTAAATCACAGTTTTAAGAAGACGAAAAGGTATTTAGAGGTATATTAAATAGCTTTATAACCTTAAAGTCTTACTGGGACATGAGCGCGCTTCATTTGGGAGAAATACGCGGCCCACCAACCAAAAGTGGATGAAGACGCTAAAAAATTAGGTAATCAGAGAGGGAGGGAGAGCGAGAGAGAGAGAGAGAGCGAGAGAGAGCGACAGCAAGAGCTCTTACTTACCTGATATCACCACTTTATCGCAATACTGGCGGAAGAAAAACAGTTCCGAGACCCGGGGAACCCCATCTTTCCCAGCGACCTCAACGTCAAACCCATCCGCATCCAATTTTTGAGCCAACTGCTTCATCCAGGTCTTATCATCACCGAAGAGCAGGATGATGGCTAGATCGCAGAAATGCAATAAAAATTGAATTCAATTTTGTCTTACAATTATCTCCCTCAACTTCCTGAGCTGCTGCTCTCACAAAGGTGAAAGTTGAGGCTTGGTGGTAATTTCCGAGGAAACTGCCTCGCTGTGTATGGATGCAGATTCTAAATTTGCCATAATATGAGCTACAAATAATTTTAATACCTTTCAACATCCGGTCCCAACGCTTCTTGCGACACGAGTGATTGGGACATTTTGGTGAAGAGTGCCTCATCTAAAATCATTGGTTAAGAGAATTTGCATTTTCCTTACTTCCTAGCAACTTCTCGTTCAGTTCTCCGCGGTAGGGTTGGAAATATTTGTAGCTCTGAGAGAATGATTATAGTTTGTAGTCTGGGATTAGGACTTACTTGTAGGTATCCTCCTTCAAAGCGTACCGTCGCTCGATCCTTATTTTTCAAAGATTTCTCAGGGTCGACAAATCTGCAGCAACCTGAGAGTTTGAGGTCGTCTTCACCAGCAGGCCAGAAGTTTTTCTAAAATAGATTTATCCTGGTCTCATCTTTAACTGAATAAAGCCTACAAACACATACAAATAAACTGAAATCAAAGTTAATACTCACACCATACGTGTGCTTAACATCAATCGATTGAGGTGGGATCAACCCGGGGAAATTCCTAGCCAAATCCCATAGAGCATTCGACGAAGCCTGCTTGAAGTAAGGGGCCCGAAGCGCGAAAATTGGCTTCCTAAATGGCATCTGATGCTTTTAAGAATTGCATGGCTTACCTTCCGAGTCTCCTCGCGATACCTAGCGTCGACATGATCCCAAAAAGATGATGCCCCAGATCTCCGCCATTTTCTAGGGCGGCGGAGCGGGCGAGAATTGCCTTTTCATTATCGGGATCAGCGTAGTCTTCATCGCCAATTTCCAACGTTGGTGGTGTCGGCTCATTAAAGTGACTTCGCACTTTGCTGGCTTTCGCTTGATGATGAGGTTTTTCGACTCTAAATGCATGGAATTTCATGGTTTTTGACTAGCTGGAACACATGTAATGATGATTCGTATTTGTAAAACCGCCGTAAATTTTTATTCCAAAACGCAAAAAGATAAGGTCCCGCCGAGATTCGAACTCGGGTTCCAGGATTCAAAGTCCTATGTGCTAACCGCTGCACCACGGGACCGGCGGGAGGCCGGCACACAGAGGGTGGTAAATGTTCTAGTCCAGAGGGTCCGGAGGTTCTAGTCTACACTTTTTGGGGCAGGCGGTGCTGAGACGCTGATTCTGAGCCGCACAGCTTTTTTCTTGTAAGTTTTGCTATTAATTTTGAGTGTCAATTAATGCCTGGATAGATTTCATCTATACACCAGTAGTTACTTAAGCTATTGGAAAAAAACGCTGATCAAAAACTCATATGCTAATTTAGCGCTACCAGCGAGCTTCGAACGCAAATTTAATGTATAACATTAAAACGTATAGCTGATACTTACTTGGCTTGGGCCAATAGAAAAACGGCTGAAATTACAAGCAAAAGCTTCATGGCCAAGTGGGAAGTCGGCTCTCGTCCGTTCTGTGGTTTCTTATAAAGCACTCGCCGGTTCCCAGAAAGGCGTAAATGTACAAAACCGGTCTCGACCCATTTCAAGAACCCGATAGCCCCGTCAAAATCTGTAGTGCCTACGGCTGGGGCAAGACGAACAGACGAAAAACATCGTAGCCGGATCAGCCAGTTTTGATTGTGAGCAGCGAGTGGATAGAGGAATTGCAAGTTCTACACATTGGATAGCCAGTTTTTTGACGGGCTAGCGGGTGGAAAATTTGATGCTCAGGGCAGGGTGGCCGTACAAGACGTGCGCTGCAAAGAAAAACGATCCGACATCAACAATATTGAGCTTAAAGGTTGCCGGATTAAGAAAAACCCCGATTTATGTTTATGTTCAAGAAAAATTCATTTTTGTGGTCTAAACAGCTCAAATCACTAAAATCATCAATTTTCCTTTTTCCACGATCAATACCAAATCTCTAGCCGAAAAAGCAAAAAGCTCAGGTCCCGGCGAGATTCGAACTCGCGTTCCAGGATTCAAAGTCCTATGTGCTAACCACTGCACCACGGGACCGGCGAATTAGGAGAGGAAAAATCGGTTTCTGTACCGTCTAGCTCATCCATCTATTAAACGTATACGAAAAAAGCAAAAAGGTCAGGTCCCGGCGAGATTCGAACTCGCGTTCCAGGATTCAAAGTCCTATGTGCTAACCACTGCACCACGGGACCGGCGGGATCGACGCGGTCCGGGGGGCTGATGACAGCTCAGACCCCCCCTAGGGCTCATTTTGCCTATCCGAGCTCCCCATGCCATTGTTAATCTGCAAACCCCCGCCCAATTTCCGGTAAGTTTGTGGATTTGGGGATGTGTGAATAGGCAGAGGCAAAAAGCTGGGGCAGAGGCGGGGATTTTCGAAAGAAAGAAAGAAGTGGATTTTTTGAAATGCCTGAAAAAATTACACGGTCTCATTTTCTACTGTGATTCTAATAACGGTATGGAAATCTGTCAGTTTAATTCAACCTTTCAGGCGAACAGCCGAGCCCAGACACAATTATGCTAATTGCCTTGGCAACAATGGTAATTAGTGTACATTACTTCCCCGATAATTTTTTTTACAAGGAAAGTCCAGTCGAGGCCATGAAAATTTTACACTGCACTTTACAACGTACGAAACCCCCGAAAACTATCGGCATTTCGACTGCAGTAGCTAATTCCAGGGTTGTCATGTGGGGAACCGGGGGGCCGTGTCCCAATTAAGGTGTTCCCCCTCATGCTCAGCCGGTCAGTAGTCACCATCAGGATCGGATGGGCGGAAATAGAGCGAGAGAGCGTTAGAGGGACAGAGAAGGAGAGCCAGAAAGATAGAGCGATAGAACTAGAGAGAGAGAGAGCAGAGAGAGAGAGAGAGAGAGAGAGAGGAGAGAGAGGAGAGAGAGAAATCAACCAACTGCGCCCGATTTTCCACACAAATCCCTGCTAGCCTGCCTTAATGGTGTCAAGTATCCCACTTATACATTTGTATATTCGTTCTTCCTCATCTCTAATTGCCGACTGCTGCCTACGGGGGGCAGAGGGTATAGACGGATTGTGGCCACATCGATTGCCGGAGGGAGGAGGGGAAGAGGGTAGCTGCTATGGCTGTGAGTGAGAGAGAGGGAACGGGTTGGTTGAGGAGGTGGCCTGGGCCCCAAGGGCTGGGGTGGCCCGTTCCCGGGGCCTCGTCCCTCACCCCTGCCCATCTCTACCCCCTAGGCCCCCCGCCCGGGTGCCAATGGGAACATCCCCCGTGACCTATACTAATGGTCGATATTCTGGGCGTATTACGCGTTTTGCGATATTTTGATGAGCTTTGATGGCCGAATGCTGCTAGTTGAAACCTTTGCATTTTCCTTTGCCGCGTTTTTCACCCCATTTCAGGTATTCAGATGTATAGTGATAAAGCTAGGCTTAAGTCTAACTGCAAAGTGTTTTTACTCAAGTTGGAGTTTCGTTTCGGGACCAAGTGCATCTTGTGCACAATTTTTCGCTGATTCCGAATCCGCTTTCCAAATTTGCTGCGGACTTTTATTTTGAAAGTTATACAGCAGTTATGGTAGTGTTTTTCACCAAAATCAAGGAACCGTTATCGTTTTCGATTTTCCTGATCAATTTCAACTTCGGAATTGGCTAGAGATTGGCTAGACAAGCATCTTAAAAGTCAAAACAAGCTTTTTTATAAAAAATTAAAGTTTTTTATGCAAAAAGCAAAAGAAAGGTGCAGGGCGGGGATCCGAACCGCCGCCCTGCGCTTGGCAAGCGAGTACTTTGCCAATGCACCATGGCGCAAACCGGAAGGGGAGCTGTGACAAAGTACTTCAGGGCCCCTGGGAGAGGCAGAACCATGGAGGGAATAGTGGACCAGGATCCGAATTTTTGGCTTTTTCAAGCTTAATTTGCACCAAAAATGACTTTTTTAGATAAAAGTCCGCAGCAAATTTGGATGACGGATTCGGTATCAGCAAAAAATTTTGCACAAGACGCACTTGGTCCCGAATCGAAACTCCAACTTGAGTAAAAACACTTTACAGTAAGCCTAAGCCTAAGCCTAAACCTATGCCCAAGCCTAAGCCAGAGCCCAGGCCTATCGAACTCACGCCTTTTGCCTAACTACCTGACCAGACAAGCCCTTATACGACATGCCGCATTTCCGCATAAATTTCTGTACGGTCCATCCGATCCTGTAGAGGGTTGGCCGGCCCCCGGGAAAGCAAAACCAGATTCCGCCTCACAACTCGATACACGAGCAGGCGGGGGGAATGGTAGAGAGAGGCTAGCTAGGCGAGCCTATGCGCAATGTTATATGCTACTCGTCCAGGAGGTCCGGTAGTATACCTCGGATGTTTTAGTAGTACTATGCTAATTTTAAGACATTTTTGCGTGTTTTTTCGCGGTTTACAAGCACTTAATTGAGATAAATACTGCAAAATAAATTTGTGCATTATACGGCATTCCCTAACCATGCAGTAAATTGCCGGCGGTGATTGATTTGGGTAGTAGATTCTGGATACCTCGCCCTCATAGTCATTTGGCTGACCAATTTCCTCCATCATTTGTCAGCCGCAAAATCTAGTCCCAAGACCCAGGCGCATCAATTTTATGTGACGCTTTTGGGATTAGCAATTTTTGGAAGGTTCCTCCCTGTGATAAATTCTCTGGTTCTTTAGGATTTCCGGGGAAACCAAATTTTTTCCTGGTTTTCCCGGTTGACCTAGTAATCAAATATAAAGTGTTTTCACATTGTTTTTAGTAAATTTTAACTATATTTAACGTAGAAAAACCTTTCAAAAAAGTTAGAAAAATGTTTGAAAAAGTCGAAAATTGGTCATTTTGGGTCTTTCCCCCCCGCTAATCCTAAAGGTTCTATAGGATTTTTCGACCTAAAATTAAATTTTTTAATTAAAATGTGGGTAGTTTTTATGCTCAGGAATAGTTAAAAACCATTTAGGAACGCATGCGCTATTTAGAAAAAAAACTAGGCTTGGGCCGAAAAAATTTGGTTTCCCCCGGAAATACTCCCCGGAAATACTCCCCCGGAAATACTCCCCCGAAATACTCCCCCGGAAATCCTAAAGAACCAATTCTCTTCATGCTGTTGAATTGAATTTTGGCTGCCAAACTTAATAAATAGAATACACCGTCAACAAGGAATTTTAATTTTTTCAAACGGAGTGCAATGTACTTATTGAGGGCCTTAAGCGGATTCTACCAGGTTTTTGACCTTTTCACTAGCCAACATTCCCCCTCGTGTTTCACATTTTATGGTGCATATAGGGCAGCGGGCCGTCTGCCGAGAGCATCGACCGCCGAATCTAAACATTCAAACCAACCGGGGAAGGCCGGTGTGCCCTCCCGCATCGATTGCCGCATTTTTTTGTTTTCTCCTTCGAGATGGGCCCGGCATCACGGCAGCATTGCGAGCCTCGTTTTCGCTAATTCTTGAATACTGAAATTTCGAAATTTCGCATGGTGCTTTTTTGGCGCTATTAGCTTATTTTTACCGCTATTTTCCGGCAAGTCCGACCACGGTTTTCCGCCTATGCATTGCTAACTTGATTCGCCGGGTACACAGAGAGCATTTTCCGTAAAACTTTACACGACCTCGGGCGTCAAAATTTTCCACTCCCTTGGGATCCAATTTGATGATTTCAAGTTATACAGTACGTACCTTAACTCCAGAAATTTTTCAAACCGCTCCTGAAATCGGAAGACGCAGAAAAATCCAGCTTGTTTGATGTTTGACGAAACGCCATTGCTACTCCCTTTTTCGAATATATTCACGGCTATGCAAAATCCGATTTCCAATTTCAAAATTGGCGGTGTACGTCGTTGGTGGGGCATGACCGAGGGGCGGATGGCGTCCCTAGGGGCCGCCCATTAACTAGGGGCCCGCATGGCTTGTGCGGTCACGTGTTTCGAGGGTAGGGGTGAAGGGTGTCAAAGAGGGGGGTCTAGGCTACGAGCTCAAATTATAAGAATTTACTCTGTACTTATTGTACGTTATAAAGTGATCCACAAATACGTCTAGCCAGTAAAATCATGCGTTTAAAGGTATCCACAAGCTAAACATTTAGATTGTTCTAGTGCATTTTTTACACGTCAAAACTTCTGGGGAAACACCTTTTGGTAATTTCCACAAGCTAAGTAGACTTATTCTTTTAAAAATCTTAATAGCGGTTATAGCGGACTACACGATGTCTTAAAGCCATCTTAAATGAATTCCCGTAATCTATCTACGTTGTATACCTTGCTTTCAGCCCTTAAAATAAATATAATAATACATAGTAGTATAAAAATGGATCTGTAGGGTTTTAGAGAAACTTTTAGGCAGCTCAAAATCACCTTAAGATTTTTCAATCAATCTTGGTAACTTAGCAAAAAGCTCCAAATCCGAGCGAATATCCGAGTGAATATCTCCAAATCCCTTTAATCCACCTATCCCTGCCAATAATACCCGCGG